CATAAGTATTATTTTTCTTTTTTTAGCTAAACAAAAGCCTCAATAATCCGAGAACCTCTGATCCCATTTAAATCTATTAAGAATAGTAAGATCTTATTGTTAAGTGTTAAMAACATAATATGGATATCATAGGTAATTCAGGTAGGTAACTTATAATATGATATAATAAAATAAAATACTATATAGGTTATAGGTATATATATGGATGTAATGGCGTATGTATAATACTATATACGTATACACGGAGAACTTGAATGATGCAAGTCAATTATTGTCAAAAAGACATAATTTCTAATCTTAAGCATACAAATGTCACTCAACAAGTAACAAGTATCTAACAACCATTCTCATAAAATGAAAACGTGCTAATACAGCCACTTATGATGATTGTGACTATTGTGAGTTGTGACAACTGAAATGATACAGTTTTCTCTAATCTGACATGAACAAAATATTTAATATTGAGTTTTCCAGAAAACTTCAAGTCTAGTCAGTTGCGCACCTAGGGAGAGATGATAGAGTGAACCCTCAAGGCCTCAACCTTTTTGCAGGATTAAGGAAATTCATAATTATTAATAAATTAAATTAAATTWATTTTAAAATACTATTTACTTAAAAAGCTTTAGTAGTTAGCACCATATAATTTAAATGAACTCCAAACAATACCTGTATAAAATAAACGTGTTGACATTGCAATTATCGCAGAAATACACTTCACAAAAAAATTCAAATATTTATTTTTCCTGGTTATAAATTAATTTAGGTACTACGATTAATGAAATGAAATTAATTTAGTGAAATGTATATTTTTATTATGAATAAAATAATAAACAATAATAATTAATATTATYAAACGTAAAAAATTCGTATCATTATTTTGACTTTGTAACTTTTTAGCATAAACCTAACAAAGTATCGAGTTTCAACAATTATTATTGTTATTATTATTAAAATAACTTTACTTTGATAACATATTCTTTTGATCTCATATTTCGTACAGAGATAGTAGCTAGTCCATTCATTATCAACTTTTGATTAATTTTTAGTTCTGTCCCATCATACAATGGCACAATTTTTGGAATTAATTCAGTTATCATTTCTTTCTGMAATGTTCGTCAATTTAACAATGTTAAAAGTTAATTAGATAAAATCAATTCTAACACTTTAAAATAATAATTTTATTAAATTTATAAAATAATGWATTCACTATCATAAAATACCTACTACATATAAATCTAATACAATATTATTCAAATTGAAAATTGTAAAGTGTTTTTTTTTTCAACAACATACATTTTTTCTACATTAAATAATATGCTTAGAGATATTACTTGATTATGATAGTCACTACTATAGAAGTTAGTTGCTGTAGATAAATTGCTTTTTCCTTTTTTAGCACGTAAGACAGTTTCCATAATTTTAAATATCTATTTGGTTATAAAACAATTTGTGTTTGTAGTTTATATTAGAAACAGTTAGTTATAACTGCAGATTATAATATTTTATAAACATTCTTATATAAATATATATATATATATATTGTAACTAAAGAAATAAAAAATATAGAAAATGATTTAATGGCTAGGTAACCAGAATAATATTATTCAATAATTTTAACAAGTAAAAACGTTAGTACAATTGACCGATTATTATTAATTCAATATTTTGATTTAGTATTTATCGAATAAATCAGTAATTATTTACCAACTAAAATATGTTCTAACCATCAACACAGTGGCGTATACCAAGGGGGTTGTGTATTCAAACCCCTCTTATAATTTTTT